GGGGGCGGGGCAGAGAGAATACAAACGAGTTACCAGGAAAGCAAGTAAGGAAAACAGCACACACACATTGTCAGCATTAAAGATTCTGTGCTCGAGTCAGCGAGTGTAACATTCTATTTCACGTTTCAGAACAAGTGTAACAGAAAGGGAAAAGACATCGTTTGTTGGAAATACACACATAGGCAATTAATACCAAGAACTGCTGCTTCCTTCTAAAGTTATTAGGAAAAGCAGCTTTTACTGCAGCACTTAAGTATGTCCTTTGCGCCTTTTTGAGAACCTGGCACCCTGACTCGTACTGATAACAACGTTCCTCTTAGGGGCAGATGTGTCCCTAACTGGTGCTACATTTGTGGCCACGGATTTTTGCCTTGGTTCCTTCTATCACAGATTCCCCAGCACATGTCACTGTTCTCAGGGATCGCCACACTGCACAGGCACACACACCCCCAAAAGGGGAGGGAATAATAGATGTACTGGAACCCTTGCTGAGATATTTGCTTAAAAGTGGCAGTACCATCTCTTGAAGAGGGTGGTCTCTTTATCACTGGACCTCGGGTGCTGACACATGCCTCATCCTGGGTGTTATGTAGGAGAGGACTTCAAAAAGTTCATGGAAATTTTCCACGATCTTCCAATTCCATTTTTCTACGAACTTTTTTAAGCCTCCTTTGTATTTGTTGGCAAATACACAGTGACTCTGAATTCCTGTATTCTGTGTCTCTATAAGTGTAACTAATTTTTATTTTTCTCAAGCAGTACCCTTCCTGGTGCTAAGCTTCATTGTCTTTCTTCCCAACCCTCAGCTGTGGCAGTGCCAGGTTGGACTGGTTATCTTCAATAAACAGTAACTGAACTCCATTGTGCCTCCCAGGGCTCACTTCATAGCGATGGTTTAGGTTCTTGTTCCTTATCTATCAACTCACACTTGTGCACATTGAATCTCTTACATTTCTTTGTGTTGCTGAAACTGCAAGAAGCTTTCACCCTTACCAACATTGACTTAGCACTTTCCACAAAGAGAACTTGTGTCTATCTGAGAAGTCATTCATTGACCGTGAACACACTGCCTCGCACAGTTTGGTAGCATTTGGTGTGGTGTCTTAGAAAGAAATTGTTGCAGAGTTGTGAATGTTTGCCTCGCTATCAGACAGAGGCGTTGTGAAGTGACGGTGGTAGAGGTCGTTCGGTTCTAATGGCGCCTTACCGTTCCAGCTCCCTTCTGACCCGTTTTAAAGTTATAATATTCAGTTCTCAATAGTTTCTGCTTTCTTTTCCTTGAGGTTGTTCTCCGCTATGTGTAGTCATTTTTGTGGGGATTGTTGGTTCACTTCGTGTTTGTGTTTTTCTCTGATTTTCTGTGTATGGAACCCAAGATAGGTACGTTTACAAAGACAGGAGGTAGATTAATGATTACCTGGGGCCACAGCAGGGAGGTTGGGGGAATGGGCAGCTAGCATCAATGAGGACAAAACAAAAATGCTCTGAAATTGATTGTGGTGGTGATTGCACAACTTTTCTTAGTAGGATTGAAGGATTAAATTATCTATGTGAATTTATGCCAATAAAACATTTTTAAAAAATAAATTGTTAACTGACCAAAAGACACTCCCATGTAGAAAACAAGGTGTCTTCTCCTCAGTGCGTTATTGGCCTCAGGGCCCAACCTTTTTTCGTGAGTTTACGGGTCCTCTGGATTCGAAATGAAACTCATTTACTGCTGGGAAGAGACTCAGCCTCTCTGCCCCCTTGTCAGTTCTTCAGCAGTCACCCTGGTAACAATTTGAAAATGTTGACTATGAAATTCTACATAATTCTTACGTGATCAGTGACCTTTCCCACCTTTCAGAATCATGGGTAGCTATCAGGAGGGACTTGTGATGTGATCATCCCACTCTGGTAGTAGTAGATAGAGCACAGAGGAAGTGTCCACTGAAAACTTAACACCTGTAACGTAAAGTGTGGCGCGCGCACGTGTGTGTGTGTGTGTGTGTAAGGTGTTCAGAGAAGAGAGAATTATTTCTTTCTGACAGAAAGATTCCTGATGCCATCCATTTTCTAAAGCACAGTGTGTTAGGATTAGGGGGTGGTGTGTGTGTGTGTGTGTGTGTGTGTGTTTTCAGGTGTTCAGAGAAGACAGAATTATCTCTTCCTTGAGTGGTAACGGCAAGGGAGCATTTGAGCAGAGTTGTGGGAGGAAGCTTGATGCAGCAGAAGTCCTAGTTTCAGATCAGCCATTTACTCACCAATTATTCAAAATCAGCCAGTTTACTCAATCTCTCCCATCTGCAGTCTCCTCGTAATTACATCAGTTGTCTAGTTTAAAGTACCTGGCTGTCAGGACAGTGTTGGAATTAGAGAACAAGTCTACAGATTTCATGCTGAATAAGAATTGGCCCTTTGTCCAGGAGAGCAGTGGATGAATTGTTGAAGCAACTTCCAGGTACCCCTGGAAGCTCATGTTACAAGTGGTTTGTGTAACAATCAAATGAAAATAATGCTATTAAAAAGAAAAATGGCCCTTTAAAAAAATATTATGTCCCTTGTTTGGTAGAATTTTAGAGACCCATGTTCTTTGCTTCACATAACTTTTATCTTTAAAGTGTTGGTTACAGAACATTCACTACATGTCCAACAGAAAGGTCCCAGAGTCCTGATGCCAGCATAAAGCGCATTTTTAATTGATATCGTGGGCATTTTGTTTTGCCACTTACTGTGGTCTGGTTATGGGCTCTCAACATTTCTCTGAACTGCAATGAAATGCAATTGGGTTTACTTCTGTAGGCAGGGAATGTGGAAAGTAGCATGCTGTTTGAACACTCACTGATGTTCATTTGAAAAGCTATTGTGGGCTCGGGTTAAGGTCGTGTTTTTTGTTGTTTTAATTGTCATTGAGTCGATTCAGACTCACAGGGACCCTTGTGTGTCAGAGCAGAACTGTGTTGCACAGGGTTTTCCATGACTGGTTTTGGGGACGTGACGTGAGCATCTAACCCTTTCCCTTAGCAGCCAGCTGCATTAACCATTTGTCCCACTCAGGGCCTTCTGAGTACTGTGATGGATTATTTTATTTTGGTGACTGATCCTAAATTCCCTCCCCTCCGCCCCCCCTTACAGATTATCTTGCTAATCATGGCCGGTTAAATGAGTCCGAGGCCAGGCGCAAATTCTGGCAAATCCTGTCTGCTGTTGAATACTGTCACGGTCGGAAGGTTGTGCACCGAGACCTCAAAGCTGAAAATCTTCTGCTGGATACCAACATGAACATCAAGATAGCAGGTAAGCGGGCACAGGTGACTCCTAATGCAGGTAGTGTGTGCTGGCCCAGACCTTCGGGCACCTCATCAGGGTCAATTCTACCCGAGAACATCAAACTGCCTCAAAGCGTATCTTATCACTTGATGAGTGATTAGAAGGGAAGCAAGTTCATTATGAACAGACACAGTGATCGGGCTACAAATGGGGTCTGGTTTGTATCCTCAGTCTGATTTGTGACCAAGTCCCTCTGTGGGGACTCTGCTCTGAGGAAGGCCATTGCATGAGTGTGAGGGCGATTGGAGGGGTGGGTAGTGGATTTACTCATGCTGTTGCTTGCTCTTCTAACTGTGGGTGGTGGCTACAGAGAGGTTTCATACAGAGAAAATACAAAGGAGGTGACGGAAGTAGAGCAAGAAAGGTTTGAGCCACAAAAGCACCTTGCGATGCTCTGATACAATAGAGTTTTAATTCATAATGTGGGCAGTAGGGGTAGAGATTGCTTATGCGTTTTCCTTCCCACTCTTTGCAAAGCTGTACAGACTGACTTTCACATTTGACATCCCTGTGCCTTTATTCCCATGGACAAAGCTCTTGTCCGTTCAGTAAATATATGCGTGTCAGTACTGGGGATGCAAGTCACAGAGTCGTTTCCTTTGATCCTAAGAGTCTAATGAAGATAAATGTAGACAGCAAGCGTAGTGTGGCCTGCTGTGAATGAGCATGTGCCTGCGAAGCACAGTGGGAGTGGGGGTGAGGGAGTGTCACTCTCCCTGAGGAGCCAGGGGAGCGCCGCAGAGAAGGGGTGGGTTGAGCTCAGACTTGTAGGCTTGCCAACAAGGTAGCAGACAGACATTCCAGGCAGATGGTGTAAATACCACAGGCATGAGAGAGAGGTTGAAAGTAGAATGGTGTGGGCGCTGCAGTGAAATGCTGGCTCCATGTAAAATCTGAGGAAGGGGTCAGGGTCTAGGTAATGGGGGCTCTGTGTGGTCCATTGAAAGGTTTGGACTTTGGACCTAGGAGTGGGGTGAAGTGGGCATGGGATAATGGATCAGAATTGCATTATTGGAAGAGCACAGTAGAGGTTGATGGGTGGGAAGTGTTGAGGGACACAGCATGATTGGGGGTACAGGGGTAGACTTCAGAAGAAGGTAAGGGACGCTCGTGGAAGCTGGCAGAATTGTAAGCAGTGGTGTTTTGTTGTAGGCGTGTGAAAGAAAGGCAAGGAGATATCCAGGTGAGAGGAGCCGGACAGGGAAGTATTGGTTGAGTCCTAGGCTGGACTCTCACTGGACTTAGTGTATTCCAAGAGACCCTAAGTTTTCTGCGTTACGGTCTAATTTAAAAGCCACTGCTTTGTGAATTGAACCATTTTGTTTCTCTGTCGTTTCCCATTTGGGTCTGGCTTGGGTCTTTTGGGGAAGGTAAATGTTTTTAGCTTCTGTTAAACATCAATGTTGTATACATGTTACGGGTGAGAGAACAGACTTAACATTCTGTAGGCTGTGTGTATGTTTTCCAAGAGATTTGCCCATTAAGACAAAAATATTCCTTACAGATATTCTTTAGAGATCCACACATATTAAACTTGGTACTGGGTTGTCATTGGTTGTGTTGAAAATGCAACAACAGTGTTAGCCTGCAGTTTCTTCAGAGTGTTCACCTCTGAACACACAGCTCTGCAAGAACAAAGGAGGGGAACCCTGTTTCATCTGTACACTCCCTTGTTGCCCAAACAAAAGTTCACAGAGACAGCTAGTTGCTCAGCAGGGCTCTAGATGTCTTTTTAGGCTGAAAACCGGTGAGTTTGACTGCTACGCTGTGAGCAAGACTCAGGGCGCTGTCACAAACATTTCCCAAGAAAGTCTCAGTGAAACACCGGAGAAGGTTGCAACGAGAAGATACTGAATGTTGCTCTAAGGCAATGACCAGGTTGTTTCCCGGGTATAATGTGCCTCCTATAATTCCAGCCTAAAATGTAGGTGGAAAAAGCTCAGTTTTTTTGATGTTCTTGTCTCGCTTGCTGTTATCTCCATTTTTTTATTTTTCCTCTCTGAACTCCTCTAATGATTTAGAGTGTCAGTTACCTAAAGTGCTTCTCTCCTGACTGAGCAGGTATAAGAACATAACATGTATTGAGCCTTCATTATGTTCGGGCACTTGTAGCATTTCATTTTCACAGCCACCCTGGAAACTACGGGCCAATTTCAGATGAGAAAGCTGAAACTCAGAGAGTTTCACTTGCTAAGATGCCGCAAATAAAAAGCAGCAGGCTTAGAATTCAAAGCATAGGTCTCTGTGCCTGCGCTTCACCCGGCCCCCATGTGGCAGTTCCCAAGCACCTTTTGTCAATTACTCCTCAGGGTGCTCACCAAACTGTGGTTCCATCCTCGGATTGTAGACATTTAACACCCCTGCCTCCTGCTCTCACAAGTAGCATTACATGTACACACCTATGCACATATGCATATCTAAGTCCTCAAACATTTCTTGCCCACAGTCTTTTCTCTGTTACCCTCAACCCCCAAGTCAAAAGGGATGTTTCTTAAGCATATGTGATGTGGCAGTGCAGACCTTCAGTGCACACAACTGCCAAGCAGCAGTGGTGGAGGGTCAAGTTTACCCAGAGTCACCTCAGAAAAAAGGCCTGGTGTGCTCCATTGCAACCCTACGGAGCACACCTACACTTAGACCCATGAGGCCAGGGACCAAGTCAGTGACAGTTCGTTATGCTCCTGGGCGAAGGCCTCGCATTCAAAACGCTGCCAACAGCACTGCCACCAAGAGACGCCACGCTGTGGTCCTCACAGGAGTTAACAGTCAAATAAAGACACATCTTTAAGTAACGAGAATATAGAAAGCATTGTTTCGTAGGCTATGAGGTTAGGAGAGAGACTGAGCCATCAGGGAGAAGTGTTAGCCAAGACTCCATCCTCAAGGCCTTCACCGCCGGTGGGGCTGGGAGAAGGACTGCTTTGTGCAGCGGATGGGCCTGGGTAGAGAGCACAGAGTTTGAGGGGAACGGCAGGGTGCACAGGCAGTGCCAGCCAGAAGTGGTAAGCCAAGAGCCTGGACCAGTAGGCAGAGGCCAGGCCAGGCAGGGTTGCATGTGCCGTACAAAGTTCAGTGGTATTCTCGGACCTTTAAGAACTTTTGCCTTTATTCTATGATGCTCACCTTCCCGACACAACCGCTGAAGACAAAGCGGGTGAATAAGCAAATGTGGTGAAGAAAGCTGATGGTGCCCG